TTGTGCTGTCTGATGCACACTGTGCAGTGATGCTTTTCCCCCTCCCGCTGACAGTGATGTCTGCTCTGTGTATACTGCTTTCAGATATGCTACTTCAAAAATGGGAGTAGGAAGTAAAGGGATGAGATGGTCAAGGGAAGGGGATCTCAAGGATTTTACATTTACAGTTTCTCTAAAATGGGGTTAAAATAATTAAAAGATACTTTTCCTCATAAAACCCATATGAAATTGTGATAGGACCCATTATTATTTTTCCCCACAGATTACAATTCTTTTGTATCCCAATGATCATATCAGTGCTAAGTGCAAGAGATGCAGTAGGAGATTTATTTAGGAAAAGATGTCCTGCCTCTCTTTGGATTTTTGTCTGGCATCTCTACTTGTTCTATTAGATGGTGTTTTAACAAAGACACCAGTTAAATTTGGTGTCTCTGTTTTTGCAAATCTGTTCTCTTCACTCCAGAAAGCAGACAGGAGATAATTTTGTCACTTACCCAGGACCCCTGTGACATCATTAGAGAGGAGAGAAGAATTTGTGCTTAAATGCTTCTGGTAAAGTATTTTGTGTATCTGAGGAGAAATGTAATTATTTAGCTGTGTTATACCCACTTGACATCATCACCCCAAGCTTGCAATATGCCGAGAAGCAAGATTGCCTCTGAAGCTTTCACACTGCATACTTGAGTCAGCTCTCCTCCTGCCAGCAGATATTTACTTCAAGTAAATGACTGAGCATTCCTCTTTACTGTTGTGAGCACTTGGAAAATATAATTTTCTTGTCTTGATTGCTCAAATATTTCTCTTAAACAGTTTTCAAATGTATACCATCTAATTTTCACATTGCTCTGCATTATTTATGCATTTCTTTCAAAAAGGAAATGATAGCATTCATTCTTGGCCATTCAAAAGGTTTTCAGTTTAGTATTCACAGCTTCCTGGACATATGTACGTGATACTCAGTTACCACTGAAGGTTTGGTAAGATGTCTCCAAACAGCTCATAAATAGGAAGAATTTAATTAACTCACTCTTTCACTGCATCTTTTTCATGTTTGAAAATGACTCTGAAACACAACCTCAAGTTCTAACATAGAGAGCAAGGCCTTGATTCCTCCATCCCAGCCTGCTAATTTAGTTTCAAATTGGATTAAAAACCCCAGAGGAACAGTTTACCAGATTCTTAATTGTGAGTAACAGTACCCTGGCAGCACAGAAGTTTTCTGTGATGATGTACTATCAAGAAAGTTTCAGTCAATTCTTTCCAGCTTTCTCAGCCTTTGAACCACAGCTTGACTTTAGTGCTGACCTGTACTTGTAAGGGTCCAACCTCCTTCCCTTGTGAATAGCGAACATTTCCTAGTGAAGATACTGTAAGTTTTGCATAAGTGGGAGGTTTAGAATCAGTACAATCATATTCACTTTCCCAGCAAGTATTGGAAAACTATTACATAGCAGGCATCAGTGCCCTCACTGCATGGCATCTTACTAATACTTTATGACTGAAAATTGGGCCAGATGTACATGTTTGCTCTGTGTCCATTGTGCTTTTTCTGTGTGCTGTGTGCAAAGAAATTTCCAATATCGGTATGTGGAAAGACAAAATCTTAGGTTTGCCTCCATCTAGCTTCTGACCCACTGGGAGTTTAAACATTTCAAAGTTGCATGAGAATGTTTGCTTCATTTTTTAATTGAGCGGCAGTGCCTTTTGCTGCACTCAGAATGCAGTGTTACTCCATTTGCAGTCAGGGATGGAAAGTAAATTGCAACCACTCCACAGAAGCAGAGATGTGGTATTGGGTGATGGTGCACAGTGGGGTTTCAGCAAGGTGGGATACTACAGGTATAGTGTTCTTGCTAATGGCTTGGTGTGTTTGTTGTCATGGAAAATATCTTCTCAAGTACCTTCTTGTGAATTCAAATAGTTCAAAGGATCAGAAGAAGAGGATGTATGAAAATGGGCACAATAAAGAAGCTTTGGCTATATTACTTTGTAACACCAAGAGCTGCTGGTTGTTCTAAACAGCCATTCCCTTCACCAGAGTGTTTGGAGGGCACCAAAACTACCGATGGAAACATACCCTACAAGGAATTCCTACCCTATGACAGCCCAGCTGAGATCCTCTTCTTAAAGAAGGTAGAAGGTCTTCCTCCAGTCCCTTTGGCTGTCCCAGACTTACCCAAATAAACTAGTGAAGTAAAATTATTTTCTGAGGAAAAGAAATTGTCAGCTGTGCACCAGGCTTTATTTGGGAGTGTTCAAATATCTGTTGGTTAAGGAGCCTGACTAAAGCACATGCAAGGATATTAAGTGTATGTGTAAGTGTAAGTAAGTGTAAGTAAGAAAGGATAATGCAGAGAGAGGCTCAAAATTGCTCACACAGAGAATTTCTGGGTGGTACTCTCCAGAGAAAAGAGCTACTGAGTTTATTCCTAAAAGGGTGCAAATCAATCGCTGCCGCCTGGCAGAGGCCGGCATTGGCACCAGCTGTAATGTCTCTGGAAACCTCAGATGGCAAACAGAGCAGTAACACAGGACGGTGATGGATTTATTCTCATTTACTCCAGTCTCTGTGGAGCTCCTTCACATAATATCTGTTTACCTTGGACTCTGTTCTAAGACTACACTTTGTCCCTAATTAAGGAGGTAAATCATAAAACCTAGTTATGAAACCAGTATTTTATGTAACTAAGTATCACACTGGGTAAACATTTATCACTTCAGATGTTCCTGGCAGAGTGACTTGGAAATTTATGGCCCTAATACCTAAATCTTAATTAAAATATCTTTGACTTTTTCCTTCAGATGCAGTCTTCTCTCTGCAGGTATTACAAGATTAAGAAAGTACTGCTATGTTTTAATTGTTTATAGGTAATTCATTTGTTTTTTATAGACTAGATGCTCTAACAGCCTAAAGCAACAGTGAAGGGAAATCTAAATGCAATTAAAAAGGAAGTAGGCAGACACTCCATTAGTTGTGTACTGTGTTAGGAAGGCTCTGTAAGCTGAGGAATTTCTAATTCTACACATACAGGATCCACTCCAACCTGACAAAATACAATATTTTGTACTCTTCTTTTGCTAGGCTCTGTTTCTGTTCCCTACAGTGCCAAGAGGATGAGAAAAGGAGATGGAAACTGGCAGGATCTGATGACATTTGTGTTATCTGTGTGTAAGAGCTCAATTAGGAGCAATCATGCTGAATTTTCATCTCCATTCAATAAGTACTTCTGAACATTTCTAAGCTTCAGCACAATCCTTTGTGTGAGTCTTCGTCTGATCTTCAGTGCTTCTGCTGACCTTATTTGAAAATTACATTGAAAACTTACTTCAGTACAATTATTCTGAATTCATCCTCATTCTTTACAAATGTTAATTCTGAAAGAGCCTGTCCTTCTGTTCATGTCTGTCCCCTTTTATTCTGTCTAAACACTGTGAAGCTTAGAGCAGCTTCTTCCTAAGACTCCTCCAAAGTTTTGACTCCTGGTTTTGACGTGGTCAGTCCAGAGGAAACCAAAATAGCGGTACACCATTCTTGCCCACTCCCAATGCCTTTTTGCACTGAGATGTGAAATGCAACTGTAAATATTTTGAGGTTTCAGCCTTTTTAGGTTAGTACACAGCATATGACTCACTGGCTGCTGCACAGTCTGTGTTTGCTGTTGTGTGTCAGTGCAAGAGGAGAAAGCAGATGATACTGTTATTATGCAAAATCACTTCCACCCACCCTCATGACTCACCAGCACGTCACCAAACAGGATTTACATCAGTTTCAAAATATATCTCCATTACCCATTTCCACCTTAGCAGATTACTTATTTCTTCCTTCCACTCCTTCTCTGAATGACGAGAACACGGCTATGTGTTTTCCGCTCGGAAGCAGAGCAGGGCCAGTGGCTGCTCCCGGCTGGTTCAGCTCAATTTGCCGGAAGCAACAGCCTCTTGCTTAACAGACGGAGCAGAAGTGCCCTGATGCAATGTTTGCATCTTTCCTCTTCATTGAATGACCAAGCCCTGTTCCTATGATGGAGGTTTTCCTCTTCAGCTGAGATTTTTTCACTCTATTAAAAGCAGTTCCATTCATTTGTAACTTAAAGAGTTGACTCATCTGGGAATTAATGTAAGGTAGCACTGATCTCAGCTTGCTGTGATGTACCAGTCTGTAAGTGGTGTCTGTAAATGGAGACGACTCAAGGGCTCCTTAACTTGAGACAGATTCATTTGCCTCAGTTTGAAATTGCTACAGCTTTTAACACCTTAGTCAAATAAACTACAGTGGGAAGTCAGTCGATTCGGGAAAGGAAAACTAAGACAATCCTCTTTTAGAATAGCTACTTATTGTCCAGTGGTACCACACTATCTCAGTCTTGCAGAAGCACCTGGTAATGATAGTAAATAACTAAATGCATTCTTATTTATTTAAGGAATTAAATTATGAATTTTGTGGCTCTCTGCTCTGCCTTACTTTGTGTCTAAATGTGAGTAGGTGACATGTAAGTGTACTTGAATGTTTAGGTTTAAATTAAATCAAGATTGGATGGATTTGCAAATCCCAACAGGTGTGGAAATTTGGAAGTTTAGCTCTGTGCCTCATTTCTCTAACCCACAAAAAGGCAATATTCCAACCTTTGTGTTACTGGCAAAGTAAATATACACACACTGTATGGGATGCCATGTCAGAACAACAACTAGGACATAAGGTATAAAAGCAAAGAGGTCTACCAGGAGGAGGTAGACCTCTACCAAGAGGTCTACTATCCTGAGAAGTATCCCAGCTGCTCTTGAGGAGGCATAGGCTCACTCATGCTTAGAACATTCCCTGAATTTTTCATTGACTCAGCTCCTGTTTCCAGATGGAGCTGTGCTACAGACCAAAACACTGCTGGAGGGCATTACCTCACTTGTCCTTAAAGTCTATCCACAACATCCCTTCAGTGCACAGAGTGTTTATTCACAGTCTCAGTCTGCAGCCTGACTTTGTGGCTGGGTATATTGTACTACACCTGTGTGAGCAGAGCATTCTGAGTCAGTTGTCCTCAGAGGAGAGGAAACCAACAACTCTGGAGGCATCAGTGCTTGCTCTTTGCATGCCTGACGGCTGAGACAAAGCCATGACCTGCTGTGTCTGACCACAGCTCTATCACTAATACCATTCCATTCAATGTTCAGCTGGGTTCACACTCGACAGGATGGTAGCACCTTTGTTCCGTGCTGTGGGTGCAATCCATCATAAGGATAGGGAGAAACCCCATAAATTTAAATAGCTTCAAGAAGAGAGAAAAAGAAACAGCAAAAAAAGAAAGCAGCTCTGCAAAACAGCGATTTGCAGAGAGCTTCAGGTAAGAGCTGCAGCTTAAGGAGTTTGGAAACATCACAGTATGGAAATTAAGCCCTTGGGATTCAGTTAGAGACAAAGATATTTGACCTTAATGGTTTTTGAGTTTAGGCCTTCCTTCCTGGTTTGCCAGAAAGGAAGGAAGGAAGTATTCCATCCTATTCTTTACGTAACCCAGCATATAAATAGATGGAGAGAGAAGCCTCTTTCTCTCTTCCCTTCTGGTGAGGTTTGGAGACAGCAGACTCCTGCAGGTTGGTCTCACTCCTGTGGGGGAACTGAGGCCTGGCCAGGCCTACAGGGCCTGTTGTTTCTGCTGATCCGGGGTCGGGTAGCGTGGTGGTGGCGTTTGGCGCGATTGTGCTATCTCAAGGAAAGTATTAAGGTTTTCTTTGGTTAGTTCTTTATTGAGTGTGTATACCTATTTTTGTTTTTTTTTTGTTTTGTCCCCTTTCCCTTTTCTGTTTTTGGGTGTTAGTTTTTTTTTTCTATTATGTGTATATAGTTTTTGTAATTGTATATAAATATAATATAAGTGTAAATATATTGATATATATTGCTCTAGCTCACTCTCTCTCTTATATCAGTTCTCTTGGTTTTTTTTTTCTTTTCCCTTGGTTTTGGGGGGGGGGGGAGCTCTTGCGGTGGGGTTAGGAGACTTGGCAGAGAGCCAGCTCAAAACCACCACACCCTACCTGTGGCCCACTACAGATCCGTGGGGATCTAAGGAATAGCTTGGAGAGCAGTTCAGCTGCCCAGCCACAGAGGATCAAGTCAGGTAGCAAGCAACTACTGATCCAGGTGGGATCCAGAAGGATATGGGCCTCCTGTTCACCCCACGTCTTCCCTATCAATAATATCAAATGATTCTGTGACTCTGCCAGGATATCTCAGCTGCCTTATGGTGTGTGAAATGGCACTGGACACCTCTGTTCACACAGTGGTGACAAAAGACAGTGGTGACTGGCTGTCACCAGTGAGAGCTCAGACATCCAGCTTACAGGCAGACAACACAATTTTGCTGCCTAGAACTGAATTTCACACCTTGGCTAAGCTGCCTTCTGTCTGCTAACTCTGCTCCTTCCATTCTTTTGCAGAAAATGATGATCCATCCTGGTTTCTTTGACATGCTATGCAAAAAGATTGGATACTTCAAAATCTATTGCTTTATTATCCTTTGTGAAGATTTATTTAAGATATGACAAGGTGTTAGTAACTATATGAAAAAATAAATAGTTCTGTGAAGCAGCTGACCCACTTCTAAGGGTTGTGAAATTCATAACTATCTTCTGAAACTCAAATTTCACTGATGTGGGGATCTTATTGTGGGTTTCTTAAGGGTCTTTTTTGTTAGTTTGTTCGGAGGGTTTTTGAGTGGGTTTGTTTTTTGTATGTGTATATGGTTTGTGGGGTTTTTTTTGTTTTTTTAATTAGAAAATTGTTCCCCTTGAACTGTGTACCCACATAATTATTTTAAACAAAAATGGATTTTGTATTATTATTCCAGTTTAACTATTACATTCCTTGGGGTCAATTGTGTGAGAGCCAACAAGAGATACAAAAGCCTCTATGAGGAGCCTGAACTGTCCTCCAGCAAAGCAGAGCAACAGGAAAATTAGAGGTTTGATTTAGCATTTTGAGTGCAATCCAAGTCTGACAGAAACAAGTGGCAAGACAATGTTAACTGAAATGGGGGCAATATTTAAGCCACTCATTTTAGCTTCAAGTTTTGAAGCTCTTAAGTTTGAAGGGTTTGAATATCTATATGAGAAATACACTTTTATTATTACAACAGCTTTTTTTCACCTAAACAAAGGAGAATCCTTTTCTACCTGTCTTAAGTGATACCTTTTCATAGGGTCAGCTGAAGTATTTAATAAATCTAAAGCTGTTTTTTTAAGAATTCAAAGTGTGGAGTTTTTTTAAAGAACATAAAGTTATTTTCACATAATTAATTATCTTGATATATTTTCCATTAGAAAATATTCTAAGAGTATTTGAAACCACTACTTTGCTGTACAAATCACATTAATTTTTAGAAAAATGCCAGAATGCATGTACCATAATCCATTCTGGTATCAGCTGGGCTAATTCTTCCTAAATAGTTTAATTATCAATTTTCCACAGGGTGGAACCTCTGAGTGTTTTTGAGTGGGACCAAACTCTATGGAAAGGAGTTCCTATGGGCTGGGGCTCTGCATCACAGACATGTCTCTCTGTGCACAGGTTACCCATCATGGTCTGAAAAAATAAATTTAAATTTAGGCCTTAGAGTGTCTCTAGAAGTGTTAAGCATTCTAAGCTGTCTCAGTGCCCAGTATATCAGTGTCAGGTGGATAAAGCCTCTGTGATGCCATACTGGTACTAACACCTCTCTCTCAATGGTCCCAGGAGCAGTCAGACCTGACACTTGGAGATGAACCTCTCTCTGGTTGCATTTACTGTGTACCCACAGCAAATGTGTGTATTCCTGTGTATTTCCTATTGTATTCCTGTGTATTTCCTATTGCGTTCATCTAAGTTCATGATGCTTGTTTTCGTGTTCTTTTCTGACACCTATTTAACCTTGAACTGAGCCATAAAAACACTCATATAGGTAAATCTGATCCACAGTTTCACTGTAGATCAGAATTCCAGGGGCAGCTGGAATTTGACTTCAGAAGTTTGACTTCTGTAGCTGGTGAAAACTTTGTCTTTTCATCTTGCTTCTTCCAACATTTGCTGTACCACTGGTAATAGAAGATCCATATATAATTTAATTTTTCCAGACCCTTAATCAATAGAGCATAATAAGTAGATTGACCGAATAATTGGTCAACCAGTCCTTTGCCTTATGATGCTTTGGAGCATTGATTATTGCTGCACCATGATGGGCCTCAAGCCACGTGCTCCAGCCCCTGGTTCAGGTCAGGTAAGCCCTTACGAGCAGATTACAAGTCTCTTGTGAAAACACTCAAAATACAATGAATAAGTCCATTGTGAAATATTACCAGTTTGAAACAGTATTGTCCAAGAAATAGTTTTACTAATGACTACAAGCTTTCACATGGGTGAATGGGGCAAGTTAAGCTGCTGTTTAGCTATGAGAGATAAAGACAAGGATGCATCTGAATTCAGGGCAACCAAATGGGGATTGCAGACACTGAATATTTCTAAGAAAACCAGGCTGTTGAGAAGAGAGGAAGAATATCACTTAGCAACATGAAACCATTAAAAACTGCAGCCTTTGGTAGAGGGCAGTTTACAAATCCAAGAGGAACAAGGGAAGGGAGGAATGGGAGAACGTAAAGGAGTGTAAGCAAGGGGAAGATAGGAAGTTGGAGTTGCAAGACAGAGAACTAAGAGGTTCAGTAAGTGACCTACAACAGTGTTTAGCCAGGGTAATATGATAGAGCAGAACACGACTGGGAAGCAAGCAGGGCTAAGGCACTGCCTTGGTGTGGAAAGCGTGTCCTTACCAAGTGAGAGTGTTCCATGTAACCCAGAGGGACACTTGTTCTTACAGCTGCTTTCTCCATTATGTTTACAGGTGAAGTCCATTTGAAAACAGTTTTTCTGTTTTCTCTTAGCCAGAGGAGGTAACCAGTACATAGGAAAACAGGTGGATTTCAGCTGGACCAGATGGCAGATCTGCCTTGGGCTGGCACTGTTGCTGACACAAGGTAGAGAATAGCAAAACAGACATGTGCAAGAATAAAGTAACTGTGTAATGATTTCCACAGTGCCTCTGTCCCCAGAGACCTGGAATTCCTCCTGAAGAGTCTGACAGGGAAAGGCAAGCCTCTGCCAGGCTCTACTAGAAGTTATCAAAGCCTTAGATTTTAACATTTGACTTAAAATCGAAGTTTGTGATGGAAAGAAAACTTGATAGCTCAGGAACTACAGGAATATTTTCACACATCAAAAAATTCATAAATCTATTTAAAAAGAGACAAAGATAAAAAGGCCTGCATCAAGGTTCTACAGTCTTCAGCTGCAAGATCACTCTGTCTTTTCTTTCTTTGTTGCCGTAGGTGTGAAGCAGGGTTGTACATTGGTACAGAAGGATGAAAGCTGGGGACTTTTGCTTTGATGGAGAATGCATGTGATCCCTCCAATTCCTTCATTCGTAATATTTGCTAATATCAACAGAAATAGTAAAGACTGTAATCAAAGAACCCACTTTTAAAAACTGAAATCCCATAACGGACCTTGAATTAGACATACAACATTTTAAGTAGCAATTCTGAGTCCACCAGAATTCTACTGTTGGGACATGCCAACCTCTTCAGGCTTCTTTCATCTCTTCAGTGAAAGGCTGGATATGTGCTTGGCATCACGTGAATCTCTAGGGAGTACAGGGGAGCAAAGCATAATAATTACGGACAATATTAAGAATTTCCTTGGTACTACGAGACCAAGAGATCATTCAATGATCAAACACTTCAATTCAAACTCAAATCATTCAGCAAAGGCTTCGTGAGAGCTTTACCCCGACAGTTACTCAAGAGCAGCCCGAGGTTGCTCTCTAGAGGTGGAAAATACAGATTTCATTTCAGATGGTTCAATCAAAACAACGCATCAGAAAGCACAGACCCGGACAGACTGTAAAAAAAGGAGAGGTCCTTGATAAACCTACAGAGGACAAAAGCTAAAAACACCACCTTTTAAGAAGAGATACAGGAGCCAAAAAAAGGTGTGCACACAACAGTGTGCATGCACTGCTTTTTATAAGTCTTTAACATAAAAGTGATGTTGTCTGTTCAAAGCTGGCTCTCCAGCATCTACTTTTGCCTAATATAGGCCTGTAGTTTTCCCATTGGCTCTGTCCAATGCAAGACTCTCTAAAAGTACCCACAGAGCCACAGCTTCCCATGTCCCGCCAGCACCTCACATAAGTCTTTCAGGGAAATACAGCGTTGCAATGATCTGCTTATGGGCTCAAAAGAACCTCAGGAAAACCACATTAAACTCAGTGAAGTTTGAGGAATTCAAACATTATACTTGTATATTCCCAGAGCATATAGAAAGCGAGCTTCCAGGTGAAACACAACCCGCAGACCTTTGCAAGAGGAAGCGTTCATGATTTAGTCTATCCGTGATTCTTGCTGTTAATGCCACAGTACAGAGAGCTGACGGAGTTCATTTGTTTACACTGAAGAAACATGAGAAGATCCCAGGCACGGATTCTATCCCCATGAAGTGAAGCGTGATGCCATTTGCTTATGACTCATCTCACCAATTGTGCTCTTAAAGATATTTAAGTCAGTATAAGATAAACTATACACTGTCTTCCTGGAGACAACTACTAAGCTGCTGGCAAATATTAGGGTCTTTCACTCTAAGAATCCAGTCCTGGTTGGGTGGAAGACAAACATTGCAGTTGTTGACATTAAGTGATAGAGCAGAATTCAAACATCCCTTCTGCAGTGGGAATTCTGCCAGAAAACCACAATTAAAATACAAAGATATCTGGGAAAAAGTTACTTTCTAAACCCTTCTGTCACTGCATGCAAGGTTTTCTGTACCTAATAGCTCAGCACATCATAGGTACATTTATCTCCCAGAAAGCTTTTGAAATCATCAATATCTTTACGAAAACTGAATTAATACAGAGGTCTAAATACTGAGCATTTCAAAATATTATAATATATTAAAAACAAACAAACAAAAAACCAAAGCAAAGATCTCACATCTGCTGGTCACTGTGGATTGCCCCATCTAACAGCTATATTCCTTACAACAAAAGCAGACCCAGAAGCAGGTGCTTGAATACTGCAGGGGCACTCACCATCCTCTGCTCAAGAAAATAATTAGTCTCAGGAGCATCTTATCAATGTTTACGAATAACTGCTGGGAGGGTGTAAAGAGGGAACCTGGCTTCTCAGTGGTGCCCAATGAGCACAAACCAAGATATATCATGTCCTGTGTAAACATAACACAGTTTTAATACTTGGGTGTTTGAACACCAGAGAAGGTTGCCCAGAGAGCATTGTGGAACCTCCAGTCTTGGAGATTTTCAACACCTTACTGGACGGTCCGGAGCAATCTGTTCTACCTGACCTTGCTTGAACAGGGGGGACTAGATAATCTTCAGTGGTGCCTGCCAATCTCAACTACTACCAAGCTGTGACGTCTCTCATTAGTGCCAAGTTGAGGAGCCCAAGCACCCTCCTCAACCCACTGGCAATGTTCTTCCTAAGGCTGTTGGCCTTCACTGCTGCAAGGACTCATTTCTGCCTTGTGCTCAACATTTCCAAAAGGAGTCCTGGGTCCTTTTTCTGCAAAACTGCTTCCCAGTCAGTTTTGTACTGGTATGTGGGGTTATTCTTCCCCAGATGTGGGACTCCACATTTCCCTCTTGAACTTCATGAGGTTCCTGTGTCCCCACTTCTGCACTGTACTGAAGGCCTCTGACCAGGGACCATTTGGCACGTAAGCCATTCCTTCCAATTTTGTATCACCAGCAAACTTGGTGAAGTTGCACCTTTCCTACCATCCAAGTAATTAATAAAAATGCTAACAAATACTGGCCTCAGTACTGACCCCTGGGGCACCCCACTACCCTGGGCCTCTGGGTGGATTTCACGCCACTGATTACAAGCCTTTGAGCCCAGCAATTCACCTGCTTTCCAGTCCACCTCGCTGTACATTTACCTAGTTTGTACTCCATCAGTATGTCCATTATGTTACAGGAGACAGCATCAAGGACCTCGCTGGAGCGAAGGTAAACAACCACCCACTGCTCTCCTCTCGTCCACTGCTCTAGTCATCTCATTGCAGAAGGCTATCAGGTTGGTAAGGCACAAATCCACACTGACTACCCTTAATCACCTTCCTGTCCTTAATACAGTTTGCTCCTTGATCCTTCCCTGGGATCAAGGTCAGGTTGCCCAGACAGTACTTCTCCAGATCCTCTTTTTGCCCTTCTTCAAGACAGAGCAATGTTTGTCTTCTTCCAACAAGTTTTTAATGGTTCATTTTCCTTACGTTCACTGAAATCCTCTCCCATCTGACCTCAGATATGGTGATGCTCCCCCGTGCCCCTTCCTGTTCAGTAATGAGTTACTAGGTCTGCTTAACTGCCCCTTCTACAAGCTCCTAGCTACCACATTCCCTCTGCTTCTGCCCAGCTCTCTGCTCCTTCTTCTCCCCAGTCCTGGTGATCCCCGAACCCACTGTGGGTATTGTTTTCTCACAGTTTTATTACTAAATTTTGTCAGCTTTCGAATGGCATCCATCAGCAGCATTTCAATATCTATCTTAAATTCACTAAAATACTAGTACATTGTTATTTTAGATACTTCTGCTGTCTCCCCTTCTCAGACTTTGACTACAGACATGTAAATTGTAGCAATCCAGTTATGTCTGCTTTTTCTATTAGGACATAAATCATCTGCTATTACTTATTATAAGAAAAATAAAATTCCCATACTCCTCACATTCCAGAGTATATTATGTTTTTCGTTTCTTCCACAAATTACTCTCTAACTTAATCACCTGGCATCCTTCTCAGAAACAAAATGAAAATTTTCCATTTCTACACAGTTTTAACCTTGTTCCATTTGCCAGAAATCTTTGAAGAACCACAGAAATAAACTATAAAAAGAGAAGGTTCTGTTTCTAGCCTTTCCCTGTAAATCAAATCTAACACAGACTAGCTCCCAGCCCCTGTATCCAAAGTATCCCTCTTCAACACTAGGAAGGCCCAATGGCATCAGCTCTTCTATGGCTGGTCATTAACATTCAATACTCTAAAATGCTCCCTTCCATGCAAACAGCAATTCTAAGTCTGCTCAGCCACAGGTAACTCCAGTCTAGATAGATCACTGACAGGAAATGCACTATAGGTATTTCCCTGCAGACCACAGTGGAGCAGGGACTGTCTGCAGCCTTTGGAGAGGTCCATGCCAGAGCACATATCCACACTGTAGCCTCTGGAAGACCCAAATCAGATCAGATGGACATGCCCTGAAAGAAACGTGGCCCACAGAGGACCCACGCTAGACTAGGTTTACTCTGAAGGACTGCAGCCCATAGAAGGAGCCTTGCTGGAGCAGAGGAAAAGTGTGAGAAAAAGGTGAAGCAGAGAACTGTTGAGAACCAACCATAATCCCCCACTCCCCATTTCTCTGTGCTGCTGGGCACAGAGGTTAGAAATAAAGGAGTGAAGCTGGGCCTCGGAAAAAAAGAATGAGGATAAGATGTTTTACTTTTTGTTTGCTTTTCATCATCCAAATCTATTGTAACTGGCAATAAAGTAAATCTTCCCCAAGTCCAGTCTGTTGTGCCTGTGATGGTAACTGCTAAGCAATCTCCATGTCTTTATCACAACTTATGAGCTTATTCACCTTGTTTTCTCTCCTGTCCCACTGAACAGGGGTAATGAGAGAGCAGCTGGTGGGTATCTGTCACCAGCCAAGGTCAATCCATCACAGCGTCCAGAGAATTTCCCACATTCAGACTTGCATCCTTTGCCTTTCCTCTTATTGCCATGTACTTCTGAGAAGTGCTCAGGCACCTCAGAAGGATCCATCTTCTCTGTACCCTCTGCTCAGTTGTAAATACCAGTAAAATCTGTTCTTTGCTTTCTCTGTCTCTTCCCCAGCATGAAGAGATGTGATTTTCCCAGCCAGTGTCATATGCTCCACCCTCCTGACAAGCTTGGGTAGCTTCCACTGGAGTTTCTCCATTATGGTACTCTATTTCTTGTACTAGAGAGCCCAGATGTGACTTTTCAAGTGCCCAATATTGGGGAAGGATGGCTACCCTCTGACTAACAACATCCCAGGAGACAGCTGGCCTTTGCCACAAGCACAACTAGTTTCCCACAAGCAGTCCCAGCTCCTTCTCTGCAGTGCTGCTTCCTGGCTAGTCAGCCCCCAGCATGTACTGAGGCACGAGGGCTGTTCCTCCCCCAGCGCTGGACTTGGCAATTCTCTTGGCTGAAGTCCACGCAGCCCATTTCTCCAGCACGCCCACACCCCTTTGTGTTTAGCACATTGACTGTTATCCTCACCTTGGATGGTGTCATTCTCCTGTTCACCTGCACTTCACGTCCACTCATTTCAGAAGGATCGAGGGCTGACTGAGCAGCCACCAGTTATCCTGAACACAGCCAAGTACACAGCAAAGCAGTTCACACAGTGTTTACTGGAGACCTAAGCCTTTACCTGCACTTGCTTGTAGGAAGGCTTTGAAAACAAAATCAAAAGGGAACTAAGGTGAAGAACAGAGACAACAGTTTAGCCTGATTCCTCCTTTGATCAGAGAAGCAGGACAAAAACCCCTCTTTACCTCTAAGTAGAGTACTTCAGTTATAGTGGGCTCAGAACCAAGACCTAGCTACACATCTTCATGTGTAGCAATAGCAAAAGACAGTGGAAAGAGTGGAGTTTCTGGGTGATAAAAGGGAAAACCCCTTCCATCTGGTCACACACTTTAGTAACCTGGATAGTAAGCAGCTATTATCTTCTGTAAGGAAATGAGACAGAGCATGGGAGCGTGAGCACAACTGAACACTTGACCTCACTCTTTCCCCCTTTATCTGTAAAAATAGTAAGAAAAGTAAATATGAATTTACACAGCAAATACTTTCATAGATGTCAAACCCCATTTCACTATCAGGAGCTAGATGCAACTCTTGCACTCAAAAGCTAGACTTCTCTTTTAATAATCAGGGATCTCAATGTTGTCTTATCAAAGTTAGCGAATTCCTCAAAAATGCTTCTGGGTTATGATTATAGAATCCACAGCTAAAAGCTCTATACTGCTTAGAGCCACAGCACTGGTATTTTCAGTTAGGGACTAAATACTTCAAATACTAATTTTGACAAATCAGTGCTCCTCCAGTCTAACTCTTGATTCAAGTTAGTTTTAAACAGTACTGCAGTTTTAACTGCATATTTAGCTACTCATATAGGTAGAATACTTGTAATAGCTGCTACTAAACAGCCCCTCTCTATACACATTAAAAGGAATTTTATATTCCCTGTGTGGTAGAACAGATGTTGCAAAAAAAAAAAAAGCACATTTAACAGTCCCCAGTATTCAAAGCCATAAAGTAGTCTCAAGCTTCAACTGATTGAAAAGAACAAAGAATTATCAAAAAATCCCAGCTCAGCCTAGCTTGCCAACAACCCAGCTTACCACCATCTTCCCAGTAATTCTCACATCTTTTCTTTAGAGTCAAAAAGATATAAACATGACAAACATTCATACATAAGTTTGGCAGCCAAACAACACACTTGAGCATTTCCGCACAAAGCAAAATAAATTCCTGCATCTCTTAAAAGTATTTGTGCTGAAGCCAATTTCATTTCTGTACCAGTGCATGCAGGATGCAGCACTGGTTAAGACTTAATACATTGCTTCAGTTTAGACACAGGTACCTGCAGTTATATGTGGTACAAGAAAGTGACACTTTTGCACAGGTATGTTTATTTTTTCCTGTGTTTACAGTGCATCGACTGTAATTTTAAACCATTCAGAAAGCACAATTTCATACCAATTTTACATACTTTACATCACAGTTCAACAACGTTAACACAGTTGTATATACTAAATCAAATGAACAAAATGGCCATGAACATTTACACTATTCTTCTGTAAACAAGTTTTTTTTATAAACAATGGTAAATTGAATTAACACAGACCACCATATGAAAGAGGGATAAACTTTTCCTTAAATAAATCACTCTGTTTATAAATACTTCAATTCTGTCAATATACATTTACAGACATAGTCGATTAAAAGCTGATTACCTACACTGTTCTTGAAAAAGAAAATGTCTAGAGATGGACCACAGTGTGTTAAATTCACCTAACATAAGAAGCAAGCATATGATTAGTATAGTGTTAAAAGTATTACTGTACTTTAACCTCACTTCTGTTTGTTAACACCGACACTGAGAAGATTGTCATGTTAGGGAACTTTTACTTGAATTCCAGCAAGTTACAGTCGATCTTGTAGTACACATATGGGTAGTACTCCTGTTGACTGAGGTTTAACCCGGGAATATCCATAGTTGCCTGCAAATAAAGTTTTGAAACCAGTTATACCCTTACAATTCAGACTCCTATTCAGAAGCAGATGACATATTCATATGTTTTTGAAGCAAATAGGCCAGGCAAGACTGCAAGCTTAAATTTTCACAATCAAGCAACTGTTTAACAACAGATAAAGTTAGAACTTTGACAAATGAATAACACAATTTTTCAGAATTAAATACAAGTGCTTTTTCAAAATCAAAGTAGTTCCGTATCAGTATTTCACATCCGTTGCTACAGTAAACACACACTTTACTCTGATAAGAATGTTATAAGGGTGCTGAATGATCCAGGAAGTTATGTAAAGTTCAGCACCTTTAATTTTCACCTGAATTGTCTCATATCCTTGTTCCCCAGAAAGGCCTGGAGATACTCTGGAAAAACATTACATTCAATATTACATTAAGAAAGATTATTTTTAATCTTTCTTAATCCAGCTAAACCTATGATTTGGTATATATATTTATTTCATCTTTAACTATGAAAATCACTGCTTTTCAATACAAAACAAATTAGCAGAATAAGCCTGCCAGCAAACCAGTTTTAAACATGAAAATGAGACCTCTACAGATGGAAAGGCTGACTCCATTTTGACATCAATTCAGCCTCCTTCAGCAGAGAAGGATAACTATGTTAACTTAAAAACAAAGACAGCAATGCAAACCAAAAAAAGTTTTGGTACTAAGGACACTGTTGTCACAGACTGTGGACAATTTATGCATTCCTCTGGGCTCAAAAAAGATACAAAGCATGTTCAAATTCCTTAAGCCTAGTTTGAGATCAGAG